AATGACAATATTCTATTCTACTAATTGGAGGGAAACCTGATAAAACAGTGGCTTTTATTTACACACAATCTTTAATATAGAGCATTGTAAATATTCCTTTCACAAAAGTCCATCCTTTTTGTGAACATCAAGGAATACTGCCCACTAAATGAGTCATGTGAGCAGAGAAGAATGAAGTCTAAAAGAATTGCTTTCAGCCTTCTTGTTGTGTAGTGTGAACTTGTCCTGGCTCATGTAAATCAGTCTCAAAGCAGGGCAACATGTAAGAACACAGAAGGTATGTGTCATAGGCAAATTTTCTTGACTCCTGTTCAACAAAAGCACTCTACATTTTCACATTTTTGACCCGAGTGCAATCTCAGACTTTGTTTTGGTGTTGTGATATGCCCTAACTTTGCTGAAGTCTATCCAAAGGTGCACATCTCTCTCCAGGTTCCAGGAAAACAACAAAACTCCAATGATATATTTCGCTGGAGGCGGCCACACATAGAGAGGATGTTTACTTCATAGCCGAGGACAGGAACACGCTGTCCCAGTCAACAGGGCGATGTGCTGTAGATCTTATTTCTGTCCCTTCTGTCTAAAAGTATGTTTTTGTCCTGGAAAAGGGGTTTAACAGTGAGGGCAGTGTTCAAAAGCGAGAGTCCAACAGAATGCTGTGAAGAGCATTTCAAGTGCCAACACACCATGCTCCCCACTCACTAGAAGGAATTCATCCTATTGTCAACTGAACTTGTCGAAAAACTCTTGAAGGTGCGGCATGGGGGGTTAAAGTAGGCTGAGCACAGCCTTCGTGACCGCTCTCAAAGCCAGATCATCCCAACCTTCTCGTGTAGAAGTATTAGTTGCTCCAATTTAGACGGGGTCCAAAGTTATTTGTGCCCCCTGCGTGAGGCGTTGATTTCACCCAACATTTGTCGGCTGGAGCAGTCATGACCTTTGCTCCTGGTAGTTAGGAACTGCCAGAGCTGAGAGGCAGAAAGCCAAACAACCATGGTAACAGAAATACTGGTATCTATGTCGGGAAGATTTACTGGGAATTTGTAAGGGATTTCCAGAGAATAAAAGCTTTATCCCATGATGAGTGAAAGTTTGATGCCTGCAAAAGCTGTCACCAATTGTTTAAATAGATGGCAAGATAGACAATCTGAAGACACAATCAGCTTCTCACGCTGCAGTGCCCCCGCTATTTTAAACCACCGTGTTGATGCGCAGTGACTCCCTGTGTCAGTGCCTGCTGTAAATATTTTACAAGCATTCCAAAGGTGGACTGGCTGTCCTTGGAGCAAAGCAATAAATCCCCCCACCAAATACGCACAGAGCTGTAGTGCATCTTCAGTGGTCATCTTCTAATTAACGCGGACCAACGAAGCAGAACTAAATTATCGACCAAGTCTAAAGGCAACGTCTGCCTGTCCTTTGGAAATTGGACACAAAAACTAATACCTGGAGCAAAAAGAGCCACCTTAAAGCCACCTGCTGTTTTTTTTTGTCAAACTAAAAACCCCTACAGAGGTTTTCTTTCATTTTCTTTGGTCGATTTGTTTTGTATCAAAGGCTGTGCACAGATCGCGTATAGCGCCGTGGTACTCGATAGTGAATCAAATGCAAGAAAAATATACAAATACAGTTTGCGTTAAACCTGCCAAGATCAATCAAGACACTATTCTCACAGCTGTTATCTTCATTCTCTACTCTAAAGAGCAAGTTCAGAAGCACACAGACACACATATACATATATGCGGTATTCTCAGATGACCAGTTAATCCACACAAACGTGTTCTCTGAGTCTACTAATATGCAAAAGATGTGATCGCTGTGCTTCTCTAGGATAGTAAACATCCCTGTTTCGTTCACATTCCTTTTTGCTGCAGTATCCTGCTGCCTTTGCCGTCTACTTTAAAACACTAACTTTAATTTGTTCCCCTCAGACAGATGAATTGTTTGAAGCCTTCTGTGAATTATCTGTAACTTAACTTATGCAGCAAAGAATTTATTCGTTTACAATTTACTGTCGCTGCATAGCTGTGCATGCCCATTAAGTCACAAAGACCATTATGATAAACAGCTAATCGCAGATCTGAAAATTTTATTTGACTTTGTTCTTTCACTTTCTCACAATGGCAATCTCCAACCGCCTCATCAGCAGCTCCAAAACAGAAATCAATTTCTGTTGAAAACAAGAAACGCGCACATTAAACTGCCTGAAATGTCTCTGGAAGCGACAGAAAAGCAAAGCCATTTGCAATCAGGTCTGTTCCACCATTAAATTTGATTATTGGGTTATGTTATAGTCATTCAAGCAGTGGCCTCATGTTGATACCATAATTTTGTTGACTATAAGTGACTGGCATGGAGTTTTACTCTTCCCCATGCATCACTGATTAAGTGGCTGAGAAATTCACCCCCTGCCTGGTAAGGCTCTTACATTAAACTATCTGCTTCTAATGGATAACCATGAGCTGCTCAAATGCTGACGGCAGCTAAATATACTCTGTTCTGTCACAACACATTTGGCAAGATATTAAATCCACGCGATCTATAAAGCAACAGCTGACTGTTGGAAACATATGCCATGTACAACAGGATATTAGAGTGTAACATTAAGTCAATAAAATATGTATGTTACAGAGTTAAGGAGGTGTCGCTGTCAAGTTTCAGCCTCTGAATAGAAGGACGTGATTTACTAATGCAGCAGGCTCCAATTATACAATTATGTAGGTTGCCAAAAAGCAATTATCTCGTCTTTTGCCTCAAAAGGTAGCTGAGATAGGTGGAGACAACATGTTACAACTCATGCTGAACATGCCGGTACCGGGGTGACAATGTGTTGTGCAACCTGTGAAAAGCAGGAGCAGGAGGTGCTTTCCTGGCACCCCGTTTCATTTATGGTGTCTCATTGGTGCCACTGTGGAGCTCCCGTGTTTGCTTTTGAAAGTTTTGATTTTCATTTCACAGTGTCAAAGTGTTATGACATTTCCTGCATGAATCCACCATCAGTTTGCATTCAGTCACTTGCTTCACAATAAATGCACTCAGAAAAACCACTCACCATCTGACATTTCAAATTTACCATCCTTTCTGTGCTTGTAATAAACCAGAAAATGCCGGTGAGTCATGAATGTGGAAGGTTCAATTCATGTTGTTCTGGAAGCATTTATTTAAAACAACCTGGATGATTAAAAAAACTAAACTGGGAAGAGCCAAAATAACTGAGTGTTTCTGTGCACTGTTTGAGCCAACAATAGAAAATTGAACTGACTAGTTTGATCAGCGTATTGTTTGCAGTCATTACTTCGCCAAAATTCTATCGTGAACTGAGGATCTTTGACTTTGATTGCATAAAAAACGTCACATGCAAGCTTCAGTTTGGAAACTGCAATGGGTGTTTTGAATTTTTTTATGTTTTTAAATGTCTGGTTTTGTTTGACCAGTAAATATTTTTTCAGTATAAACTGCTTACCCTACTGTTGAAGGTTAAAAATCTGCAGCTGGACTTGAGGATGTAGACCAGCATGTAAAACTGAGCACCGGAGGCTGAATTCTGACATTAGTCATAAGGTAACCAGTCATGGGTGATTTCTACATCTTGGAAAATGTTGTCCTATCTGCGGTGGTCATCAAAATTATGATTTGTCCTTTAAAGATGGTCTTCATTAAAAAAGAGAGAGATATAGTAGTTGCTACTGTACATAAATATGTCTCCTTATGATTGATTGCAGGCAACCCATCAGACAGACCAAACAACATTGTTGTCCCATAAAAGCATTCGTGTGTGCGTGTGTCTCACATATCCAAACAGAAACAGTAAAGACATCTGCAAAGAGCATCTGTATGCACATATTCACAGTGTGTGTTTCCATCGGCTGAGACTACAGGACCCTTGACACGCGAGAAAAAGCTGAAAAAGCTGACAACAATCGCAACACGGGATGTTTTTTTAAAATTAAAAGCTGACCCTGTTCTCGTGCCACAGCCTGTTCTACTGTAAATTACTTTATTGAAAGCTTTGTACAAACATCACCACAGGGAGTGAGGACCGCAGGATTCCCCAATTACCACATTTCAGTCATGTTGGGTCACGCAAAGAAAGAGATGCGACCCATTTCACCATGACAAAGCTGCAGAGTCCTGAATAGGCCAGCTTCACAGGACTAAGCCTGGCTAATGCTCTGGGCGACTCACCCACTAACCCACCGCTGCTCCTCACCCTCTCAGAGGCGTAGTAACCGAGTAACAGAGAGTGAAACGCACTATTAGTGCTGGGCCATACTACAAATTTTAGTACGGATCTGATTGCAATATTTTTAACCTATAAAGGCAGCTTATTTAGGGGGTGCCATGATTTATGAGATGAATCCACATCAATTTGCACATTTTAAACATTTAATGACCACTAAATGGCTTAATTTCCACAATAAATAGATAAACGATACAACGCAACACACCTTTCACTATTTCATGTATTCTGAACCATTTTTTTCTTCTTCTACGTTTTTTTGGGGGGGAGAGATGGAATTTAAATGTACCTGTCTCTAAAGTACTTTAGGTGTGACAGGTGACACTAAAAGGCTTGTGCATGTATATAGCAAGGGATAGAAACAAAATACAGATCGATACCAATACCAGCGCTGGATCTTTTGCCCCCTTTATTGGCTATGAACAGTTTGCACGTAAAGCTTCCTCTATTTGGAAGAGATGTAAGGAAAGTGGGCAGGTGACTTTAACATTAAAGTAAGAAGGTAAGAGTTCAATGAGAACCTTTGCAGGCATTTGTGGCTCTCTATCTTCACTACATGATTTGGCACTTGAGCTCCGATATCATGCTGAGGTACAGGTGCAAGTTTTTAAAAGTCTGCCTCTGTATATAAACACTGATAAATAGCCCATCCACTCTTCTCGCATTATATCCCTCTATTACAAAGCTGAACGCCTCTTTCTTCCGCAAGTCAGACTAAAATAACATAAAGCAGTCACATTTTTTTTGTTCTACTACTCACCCCTACGAAGAAGAGCAGCTGGAGTGATGAATCAATCTATCAGGGATTTGCCCTCAGCTTTCACGGTAGGCGCTTCAGTTATTTAACATTTTAAGTGGATGACAACTTTTTAGTCCACGCTATGATTAAGCGCTGACGGTATGACAAACATCTCCCTCTGGAAGACTTTACGTCAAGTTAGCTGCATGCGCACTTTTTTCCCTCCACCTCATCCTCCGCTTGAGAGAAACTTTTTTTTTTTTTGAATGACAGCCAAGAAGTGCGGAGTCAACAACTGCAACAAGTCTCCACAAGGTCTTTCTTCTATTTTGGAAGCTTCAGAGGTCAAAGGACAAGCAGCGAGTATGTGTGTGTGTGGACTGCTGTCTGTCATACATCGCACCTGGGCTTAGAGTTAAATATGCGCCTATAGAAAACCTTGGGAAATATTTCTGTCCGCGTGTGCGTGCGCGCGAGTCTGTGGCATGTCAATCAATCGAGAAAAAAAAGCCCTAGCCCACGGGTTCGTCACTCCCACGCATACTGTACCTGCACACACACGGGGCGCCCATTTCTAATATTCAAAACAGTTGAGCCTCTTTATTGGTGAATTCAAAGCACAATTACTGCTCATTCATGCACGTAATTGCCCTTTCCCGATATATAAAGAGGGTGAATGTCTGCTGAGTGGACCTTACTGTCCCCATCGACGCATATCAACCATTTTACCTGCTTGAATTTGAAGTCGATACCGCTAGAGAATACAGTTGCCCAGTCCTGCTCTTTTTATGTCCACAGAGTGGATGTAGGTTAAAAGGTTTGTACAGTATTAGTCCACACCCACGTGCAACTGATATCAGCGTAATAAGTGAATAATAAGGGTTACAAACGCAAATAAAGATGGGCTGTGTGTGTCAACTGTCTGCAACCATACAGTTGACAGACACTGTCGCCTGAAGTTGTTTTTCATGAGCATGAACAAGACTGTGAAGTGCAGATATGCACTGAAAAAACAAAAACATACTGTTTACCCTCTGCAAACATGAAGCAGTAGTTTTGAGTTAAGTCCAAATGAAATGTATGAAAACAATGTTTGTTTGATTTTTAAGTCATATAATAAAATCATTAAGGAAAATGTGCCTGGTATAAACTGAATGTCAAGTAAATTTCATCTGACCAGGAACCATTAGATGCAACATTTTAGACTGTACCTATGTGACAAAATGACATATAAAATTTACATGCAATTAAATTTGTCAAATTTAGCATTTTGGACAGATTTATTTATTTATTTATTTATTGAGTGTGTGGAATATTCTTTGGCATAAACACAAGTGGACAAAGGCTATTATAAGTACTAAACTGCAGGCCGCGTTTAGATGTTTTTGTTTGTTTAATTTAAAGTTTCCTCAAATTATTAAACTTTCGGATTCTGAGCATTTTAATCTATCAGTTACTTTGATTTAGGCAAATTCTAGCATAAGACATGATTATTGTGACGATGCTGGGTTATGTTGCATAACAATAAATGAAATCATTTCAAAGTGTGCTAACAGGACATTTTATTTTAGTTCTTTACACTTTAACACAAAAAACTGATCAAAGCAGTGTATACATGTAGTTCAAGCTGTGCATCGGAATAGCTTAGAAAGGAGATTTAAGTGGCACTGCTTGTACCAGAGTTGGTCTGAGTATCTCTACGGTTTACAGAGAATGGTCCAAAAAGCAGAAAATATCCAGTAGGCTGCAGTTCCCTGAGAGGAAATGTGTTGTTGATCCCAGAGGTCAGAGGAGAATGGCCAGACTGCTTCAATCTGATAGGCAATATTAACTCAAATAACCACTTGTTACAACCGAGGTATGATGAAGAGCCTCTCTGAACTTAAAGGGCATCAAACCTTGAAGCAGATAAGCTACAGCATCTACACAAACTGTCATAAACAGTATGAAAGCATGGATCCATCCTGTCTTGTATAAGTGTTTCAGTGGTGTGGGGGATATTTTCTTGGTACACTTTGGACTTTTCAGTACCAACTGAGCATAATTTTAATGCCACAGCCTACCTGAGTTTTGCTGCTGATCACGTCCATCTTTTTATAACCACAGTGTACCCATCTTCTGATGGCTGCTTCCGGCAGGATGTCACAAAGTGCGGATCGTATCAAACCGGTTTCTTGAACACGACTGAGTTCACTGTACTCAAATGGTCTCCACAGATCTGAGTCCAACAGAACACCTTTGGGATGTGGTGAAACAGGAGATTCACATCACTGATGTGCAAGCCCACAAATCTGCTTCAACTGTGTGATGCCATGGACCCAAATCTCTGAGGAATGTTTCCAGCAGCTTGCTGAATCTATGACTCAAAGAATTACGGCAGTTCTTAAGGCAAAACCAGGTCCCTGTTGGTACTAGCAAGGTGCACATGGTGAGTGTATGTTGCATTATACAACACATGGTATAGTATATGCTTATGTCAAGGCTGGGCTGGTGTGAAGGTATCAAAATTCAACTGTCACATCACACAGTTCATGTCATCTTTTCTTTCTTTTTTTAATTTTGAGGAAGCAAAGACTTTCTTGGATATTTGTATAAAAGATGAGCACCAGTGCCAGATTTAATAATCTGATTGATTTGTTGATTGCCAAGCATGTTGCGTGACCCTGCACACAGAAGGTTTTGAAGACACCTGGAGACAATAAATCAGTTTGTTCATTGTGCTCATTTTGCCATGCACATGCTAAAAAAAACCCACGCTATACAATAAAAGTGTTACTATATGCAATCTGCATAGTGTTGATGCATCATTGCTATTGCTAGCTAAGTCATGTAAATTATTGCCTCTCTCACATCTGTTAACTCTTGCTCAGAATCAGATTTAAGAAGTTTTATATTTGCAGGTACCTCACTGTGTCCTTGTGACAAAACCAAAGTTTACACTTCTAATGGAAACACGAATACGCATGTTTTAATTTTAAAACATTGATCTCAATCTAGTGCCCTTCATGAAGTAAAAATAGAGAATAAAAAAGACAAAACAGCACCCCGATCAATAAGAAGAGAAGAAAATGGAGCTCTTCACTCTCAAGTTTGTGCCACTCTCTGTTCCCACAAGGACTAAGCTCAATCGTGGAGCTATAGAGAAGTAGCTTACATTCCAATTACCACTCAAACCAGCAGTGAACACTGAGTCCTGAACCTTGACATCAGCCCCAATTGAGAGAGGCACCAGAACACTGCCAGGACATCACACATTTTCACCCATTATGGGGCCATTGTGCTGCACTGACCTGTAATCTTGACCTCAAGTTGTGTTTCTCTCCATCTCAAAACACTTCACTGCAAATAAGCGAGGGCTGTTGATACCTCTCCACATCTGAGTCCGTATAGACCCAAGTACTAATAATAACATTATTTCCAATGTATATTTAAAAAAAAACAAAAAACAACGCTTCACCCAAGTCGAATGCTCATTATTCAAAGTGATAAATCTGATAATTTTGCATTCTTTTAAAGGATGTTCACAATGGTAGGTCACACTGTACTCTGCCTAAGGTTTTGACTTACAGTGGAAACACACGGAATATATTCGACAGATAAAGGAGTGTAGAAAATGTAGTTGCCATGGAAATCTACTTATATTTGATTGGCGGCCTTTCCTCCTGCGGTGTAACAATGCCCCCTAGTGATATCTTAGATGGCTCTGCACACCGGGGAAGCAGAGGCACAATCCGAAGTAGTCTTATTCAGTAAGTTCGGAAAGCTTTGAAATCGTTTAACCAGACCTCTTTGTGCATGCGTGTGTCTGTGTGCGGGATACAAGCATTACTCCTTGATGCCATCTGCGGTGACAGGCATGGAGACGCAAACTGGTTAATTAAGCTGAAATCTGAATGATATCTAAATGAGATTTAACGCTCTTTCACAGGCTCGCTGCACCTCACTGGGTGGACTTTATCTTAGTAGAAAATCATGTTTTCCAGAAGCTGCAAAAGCCCTTCCGTTCCCGCTGTTTTAGCCTTTGATAGGTGGGAAATTCTGGGTTTCGTTCTGTTTCCACTGGTCTGTTATGGAAATATTTTATGTATTAACACCAGAGGGAGCTCCTGAGTTCTATAATCTTTGCCACACTGTGTGTAGTCACAGCACAGACATCCAGGTGTTAAAGCAGCTCTCCAAACTACTCTTCTTAGCATTAATTACTATTAAGGAAGATATTTTGCTGCTCATCCATCTATTTAAAGAGGTGAACACAAAGATAAGGAATTTAGAGATATATAAATATAAACAATGTTATCAAAAAGCAAAAAATAAACAAATAATTTTAAAAAAAGATGTTGGTGCAGTAAAATCACAGACACTACAGCTACAAACACACTGGCTAGTCATGTGGGCAGGCTGGGAATAATAACAGTGTTTCAGTGATTATTCAAACCAAAGCGGTATTGTTGCATACATTATAAACTCTTCAGGTTATTAATTTCTTTGTGTTGCAGATCACGCTGACCTGCAGATGTCAGGAATTTTTCTGATATACTATAATGCAGAAGCCGAGGGGTTCCAACGTGTCAGGTGACTGAGAAAGGAGAGTCACAGTGGAAGACAAAGGTGTCGGAAAAAAGAGAGATGTGTCTCATACTTACAAAGAATGCCTGCGCTGTGTGGGTATTTTAATGACTGCTCCTTTTGTGTAGACTACACTGTGAGCATCATGCACAGAAAAAAAAAAAAGAAAGAAATTGAGATAACAACCATGCAGTGGGAGCTACATGGAGACGGACCGGGAATAAATGTTGACTGATAAGTGCAGTCAGAGGCAGCTGCCTTCATTTATTGACTCAATACCCAGGAGTGCGAATGTGTGCAAGAGTGCTGTAATATCAGTGTTGCTGTGCAATACGAGAACTTACATCATCACCACTTAACAATATTACAGGCAGTTCATAAGATTATTGGTCCCCAGGGGAAAAATTAAATTTGATACGTTTATCAATATGAACTAATACAACATTTATACGTTGTTTTCATATATATTTATAACTAGCGTGTTGTCAGTGCACCAGAGTTTAATCCTAATACTCGTTCAGCACAGACCCTACACTTATTATCCAGCATGTTAGCGTCATTGTACCCTTTATGCTAATTAAGACGCTTGAATAATTCATGGGTTTGACACCAAGATGTCAAGCTA